GCACCGGCCGATTCCCCAAAGATGGTGATGTTTTCTGGGTCACCCCCAAAGGCCTTGATGTTCCTCTTCACCCAGGCAATAGCCATGTGCTGGTCCTTCAGCCCGTAGTTCCCTGAGCGGCACAGAGCAGCCACCACTGAGCAAGGGCACAGCAAAGCTGACCCAGCACAGGGTCCCCCCAGACACAGAGGCAGCAGCAGTGGTACCTGGCATGTTTTCGTCTCCCGTGCTCAGGAAGCCCAGGGGCCCCAGGCGATAGTTGATGGTGACCACGATGACGTTGCCCCGCACGGCGATCTCCTCGCCATCGTACAGGTAGTTATCCAGGAAATTGGCTCCCTGGCTCCCTCCCACCAGGAAGGCTCCACCATAGATGAAGATCATCACAGGCAGGTTGGTAGAGACTGCCAGGTGAGCAAGAGGAGCAGACTGAGCCACAACAGAGCCTGGAGGTGCAGCCCGTCCATCCCCTCACCCACTCCCTGAGCATCACTGCACCTGGGCAGGAACAGACAAGGCTCTGCCATCACCTCTGGCCAAGGAAGTCCTTGTTCTGCACAAGAGGCTGAACCTCCCAAGAGGCTGCAGCTGGGGGTCATTGCCTGACACAGTTCCCACCTTTCCCCCCAAAATCACTGCTCAGCACTTGCCCACTATGGGAATGTAACTGCTGAGAGATGCTCCAGAATAATCTGTGCATAAAACGCAGCTGGGAATCTCCTGCCCAGGTCCCTGCCAAGCACATACCCTGTCTCCTGCCTTGAGGGATCCACATGTTCAGGTAGAGACAGTCCTCTTTCCCACGGACATCAGACTGGGTGAGTGTCATCTGCATGCAGCGATTCTTGAATGTTTTTGCCTCCAATGTTCCTGAGAGGAGAGAGGGAAGACAGCATGTCCTAGTTAGGGGCATCAACTCCATCCACTGGTTTCCATCTGTCTGTCCACCCATCCTTTGCTCTCTGAGTCCAGTGCAGAGGCAGAAAAGCCTCCCCAGCCACTATGACCTGTCTGAGTGGCAAAGTGGGATCCTTTCCCATGTGAACTAGACTGAAGAGAGAAAAGAAAAAATAAAATCCCAAACCAAAGGCATTTCAAAGCTTGGATCTTACCATCCCAGCCAGGATGAGGTTCAGGGTCTTGCAGAGTCTTTGGAGGGGCAGCAAAGGGAATCCCTCTGAAGATGTCGACGTAGCTCCCAAAGAGTCCCAGTTTCTTGCTCTCGCCTTCCACAAAACCGCCCTCGGTGTGCACCACACCCAGCTACAGGGGTACCACGGAGAAGAGACAATCTGGTGCTCAGTTCCTCATGCCTCTGGCTTCCCATGCCACCAGCACTCACACCTTGCCCCGGCCAGTCCCCCACACAGACCCACTCACAGCCCACCCTTCAGGTGCCACTGGAGCTGCGACCATGCAGGTGTTCTGCAGGTGCCCTTTGGAGCAGACAGGCAGCAGCAACTCCTACACACTCCCAAAGATAAATGGCAGAAGGAGAGGACCTTCAGCCCTAGGGTGTAAACCTGGCCAGACCTGACACAGAACTGTGCAGGAACTCTTGGGAAAATGTCCCTGAGAGCCTCTGCCATGTTGAGGCCACAAAAACACTGTGCCCCAGCTGCCAGGCCTGCAAACCCTCTGTCAGAGATCCAGATTGGGGTAACAGGGGTTTGCTCACTCAGGCAGGGACAGGTGAAATATCTTGCCCAGCCCTGAGAAGTGCCTTTGTACTTACGGTCGCAGCCCAGGCCACCCCCAGGGAGGAGCACAAGGCCAAGCACAGGATCCCCCAGCGAGCCATGGTGAGGGCACACCTGAGGAGACAGTGCCCAGCTGGAAAGCTGGTATATATAGAGTGAGGGGGGCAGGGGTGTGTACAATGCCATGGGCCAGCCTTGGCTCTGAGGTGAACCAGAGGAGCCTCCACACGCTTGTCCTTCAGTAGCCTGAGGCCAGTCCATGGCTGAGGTAGAACTGGCATTGCCTTGTGAGAGCCCTGCAGGTGCTGCTCTTGTGGGCTGGAGGCCAAACCTCCTCAGGTGCCTATTCTGTTTCCCACATGGCCATCATCATGGTCAAACTACCCACACACAGAGAGGCTTGAGAATGGAACTTCCCCTCTCGTCTTCTTCGTCTTCTTCATCTTCGTCTTCTTCTTCTCTGGTGTATTACCAGCTGGTTTGGATTCTGGCCTCACTCTTGGGAGGTTGTTGAGCTTGCTAAAGGTCTCACTAGCCAGTAATTATGAAAATGTAGAGACCTGTTTATTCACAGGTTTGTTGCACGCTTCCTTCCAGGTCTGTACAGCAGCATCCAGTGGTTCAGTTGGGATTTCTCCATCATCAAAGTTCACAAAGATGGCATTGTGTGGGCAACGGGCCCTGCTGAGGCCAATCAGGTTCTCAGCAGACACCTGGGGATTGTTGTATCACTCAGTAAGGAGCAGCAAAAGGATTGGGTTTGCCTTTGCCTATGGCACGCAAGGACTTGGGGCTGCCACTGGAATATGTGAAAATGGAGTTTGTGCTACAGATTTCAGAGGGGAAGGGACTCAGCTGAGTGGCCAATGGGTTGGTTTAACTTTGGCCCAACCTCTGTATCAACAGGCAATGCAAGAAGGAAATGCAGTTATTTTTTTTTCCCATTTAAAAAGTGCAGGTGAAGGACAACAGTGAGAAAATGAAAGATGTTTTTTGTGGGAGATCTCACAGATTGTCCTACTGGCAAAACCAATTGGAGCTGGCAGGGCACAGGTTGGGTGAGTGCGGGCACAGGAACACGTGGCATCGACTCGTGGCAGAAAGCTGGGCTTGTTGCACCCCACACTGTGTGATGTGTGCTGGGAGAGGCAGTCCAGGCAGTCATCTTCACCACATCACCTGGCAAATCCTCTGTTGTGCCAAATCAAGAGGGATAAAACAGAACAAGGCAGCAGCTTAAACAGGTGAAGGCCTCCATCCCATCTCCTGCCCACACAACCGATCTTCCCTCCATCCCTGAGCTCCAAATTTCCCGTGGGTATCCAGCCAGGGTTTTCAGGACATCCCCTGAGCCTGTGTCCCCCGTGCCATGGAGTCCTTGAGTCAGGATTGGTGGCACCTCTGTGCGTGTGTGTGTTTGTGTGTTGGAGTCACAGCTGCTGCTGTTCCCCCCGCTCACCCCGACAGGGTGGGAACTGGGTGTGTTCATCCTGTCAGAGCTCTGGGATGGGGTAGAAACAGAACCAGCCCCAAATACCCAGGAGCCTTGAGGCAGCCTCCCTCCACAAAGCCGTAAGCCTGGCTTAGATATTGTGATTAATAATAAAAGAACTGTATATTCACTGTTTTCAGCCTGTAGGGTGCAGCAGTACCACATTTTAATGGGATCACAGAATACCAGGTTGTAATTGATCTCAAGGGTCATCTGGTCCAAGCTTCCTTGGCAAGAGCATGGTCTAGACAAGACAGCCCAGCACCCTGTCCAGCTGAATCCTTTAATTGTCCAGTGTTGGGGAATCCACCACTTTCTAGGGGAGATTATTCCAGGGGCTGATTGCTCTCACTATGAAAAATTGTTCTCTGGTATTCAAGCAGAATCTCCCCAGGAGCAACTTGTACCCATTGCCCCTCCTCTTTTCCATGTGACTCCATGTAAAAAAGGGAATCTCCGTCTTTTCTGTAGCCACCCTTTAAATATTGGAACATGGTGATAAGAGTGGAGTGGAATGCCATTAAGGGAATATTATATCTCCTATCTAAGGTCTGGCTGAAGTTTCTTCTTCGCTTTCTATTCTACAGACTGTGCACCATGAGCTGTTAAGCTGATGCTGTGTTTTACCTCAGGAGTAGCTACAGCAGGGAACAAAATGTTTATGGAAAAGGGCTATAATACAAAAATATGAGACAGTGGACAAACCTGTCCGAAATTAAAATATTATTTCTAACTGCCCTCTGCTATGTCTTAGATACCAAATGACTTGGAGAACTTTTTTTTCCAGGAACAGTGATGTTCAAAGTGCCTGAAAATGGGCTTCCAGACTATGGGAAGTCTTGGTTACCAAGGGCAGAAACTCCTTCTGAAAATAATTTGCTTAGTGGAACTTTGTTCTAGTATAAACCAGAATGGACTATTCAGTTCTCCTCATTACCAGTAAAAATTCCTATCAGACCTGTGCAATGCCCAGATAGTAGAGGGCAGAATATGCTTCATTTCCTTTCCCATTGTGTCCTCTTTTATTCTTAGCCATGCTTCACAGTGTAAAGGATCCAAATTACAACCTTTTTTTCACATTATTATTGCCCTCCTCTAAAAAAACAAAAACAAACAACCCAAAACTCTTTCCTGGGCATTTTCATCCTTGGCCTGTGCAACTTCACCAGCTTTTATCTCCCTCCTCTGAGCCACAGCTTTTCCCCGCTCATCTTTGTAATCTGACATTGTGATTTGTTCACTTGGGTGCTTGTTTTTCTGCCTGAAGAAGATTTGCTGAATCATTGGGGAGGAGGCAGGAGCTGTAGAGGCAGCTGGTGGCCAGTGATAAAACCACGGCCACATCCAGCCCTCAGGGTTTGCACTTGACAGCCCTTCAGTTGAAGGCCTGAGTCACATTCCCTTCCGAGCTAAGATTGCTGGGGACTTTGGGATTGAGGAAATGGGGGTGAGGAGGTGGTACCTCAAAAATATAAATTATTGTTCCTGATAACTACAAGGTTTGTGTTGTATCTCCTGCAAAACTTATGATGATGCTGTGAGAACTTTCAGGTTGGGGGCTAAATCCTGCTGTCCCCACTTCAGAGGGAACACAGAGCTAAGAAAATAGGAATTTGTCTTGGAACAGGTAATGGTATGTAGTGACTTATTCCAGACTTGCAGTAACAGGGTATAGTGTGAGCAAAGATGTGCCAGGGCTCCAAGACAGTCACCTGCCTCTTTTTGGAGAGAATGCACTGAATTCCACTGGTACAACTTATGCAGCTGCAACAGGTCTGAATTCTGCCCATTGCCTAACATTTAGGCTGGGGCCTGAAAATGCCTTGGTTCATTTTTTAGGTCTTTTACTCTCTTTCTGTATGACCTTGAGCTACATTCTCTCTCTTGGTTTCCTTGCAGTAAAACAGGGATAAGGTGTTTCCATCTTTGCCATTTTGAAATCTTCAGGCAGTATGAGCTATTGAAATGCAAGGTATCATTAGTCTTGCTGACTCTTGATTAGGTCTTCTGCTCTGTCAGCTCTGCCTTTATTTAAAACATTAGAAAATTAGGTTTGTTGCCTATTTTTATAAGTATCTTCCAGAATTCAGAAATAAAATCTTACCAAGAGTACATGATACCTTTCCTAAGATCAGAGTTTTAACTTGGGTTGTGCTACTTAGTTGTACTTCAAGGAGGTGAGATGGAAAGTTGGTTCACAAACAAGACTGAAAATCCAGCTGACCTGAGTTCCATTTCTAGTTGTTCCTCTCAAATTTGGGCAAATATTTTAAAGTGAACAATGCAGGTTGGCAGATCCCAATATCACTTTGATGCTTTATGGGTTTTCTGTGGGACTTGCACAATGCCACTCCAGTGAATTACTGCACATGTGGAGGAATTCTACCTTGCTCTGATCTGTAGATCTCAAAGCATCTCCATGTTTTTATCCTCACTTTGCAAAAGGGGAAGTCCGAGACACAGGGAGGGGACAGCGACTGGCTGAGATCAGTGACAGGTCAAAGGCAGGAACACAACACTCCTTTGAGTTCTGAGTGTCAGATGTAGCTTTCTCCATGATGCCACAATATCAGAAAAGGCAGCTGGAGTTTCTGGACTCTCTTTTTCAGGTGCTGCCACACCTGAATGTCCACTGAGCCTGATTGATTTACAGTCAAGCTATTCCAGGATGGATCTAAATAAGGAGCTGTGGCAGGGATGTCTGACTGACACACTGGTTTACCATGTCCACACTCTCAGGATGGGGCCCTTTCAGGAACAGGAATGCTCTGTCATTTCTGACTTCCCCTTCCTCAACTGAGACAAGAGATAACTTCTATTTTATAAAGAAGAGAAAACCAGAGGACTTGACCACTGCCAAAAATCCCACCAAAGCTCTTAATATAGAGGAGCCTGGGTTATTAGATAAAGTCCCGTTGCTTTAAAATTATTCAAGAGGCAGGCAGAATCAATGGGAAAGGGTTTTAAACCCCTAATTCCTCATGAGGAAGCCTTGAACCTCAGAGTTGTGTTGGCTGGTGCTGAACGTGGCCATTGTACTTAGGGCTTGCTGAGGAGCCTTTGATGACTTAGAGGTTGCTCATGATCTGGAGAATAGTAGATTATGGGTTGGAACAGAATCAGCTGTGAGAAACTTGCCCTGAGAGTGGTGCAGAAACCACAGGGGTGTGACTCATCTCATGTAACTTCAGATGCCTTCGGATACTCAGCTCCCTTTCTCTCCAGGGAGAGAAGTACGTGCATAGAAGGCAGAACTTTGGTCCTGGTTTAGGCATGTGCTTTAGGAAGGAGCTAAATTGCTTCCTAGATATGTTACTTACCAAAAATGGAGCTTTTGAGTCACTAGTTCATATTGGAGATCTCCTGAACTGCAGTGCTGCTGCAGATTTCCTGCTTCATATCCCATGGAGAGCCTGGGACAGCACTCGAACCCAGGCAGCCAAGAATGAACACATCCTCCCAGCACAGGCTCAGGGCTTGCACTGGGGCCAGCTCTCAGTAAAATAGGCAGGATCCAAGACAGCAGTTTGAATCAGAAGTGGGTGGGATGCAGGATGATGGCTGTCCATGTGGTCTGGATGAGCAGTGACCTGATAACAGGTCTGATGAGCTGAAGAAACACGTCTGGTGAAGCTGCTGATGTGACACTGGTTCTATCCTGCATGGCCCAACCTCATCAGGCAAACCAAGCAGAGGATGTGCCCTGCAGGAATCTCTTATTACCTCCCTGTCACTGCTGAGGTACATGGACAGAGAGCTTGCACAGGTCCAAGGGAGCTCATCCAAACAGGAGAGTCTCCCTGCTACAATCTTTAGCTTTATTGATCTGGTTATTGCCACCCTAGGAGTAGATATGAAGTGGTATTTGCTGGCCCATGTTCTTGCAGCTCAGATGGGAGTGGTCAGGTTTTACCCTCTTCTATTCATTCAGGGGTTTTTACTATTTTTCAGAAGCAGAGCAATTGTCTGTGCACCAACCCTTAGTGACCAGTGCAATTCCCAAGTGGTAGATCCCACTCCCAAACCTAGGGATAGCAGCATGGAGGAGAAGTGCTGCTCTGGCCAGTGAAGAGGAGCAGCTTGCTCAGTAAGCATCTGGATTGTTTGCTGTAAATCTGACCCTCCTCCTGGGCAATGCTCCTAAGAAAACCTACCCCCTTCACTCCCCTGGGCCCCAATGGTCACATCTGCAGCTCTCCTGCTGCACTTCCCGGGTTATTTGCATGGATGGGGGCTCCCTGCTGGTGCCTGGGTGGCAGAAGCCAAGGGCTGACAGGCCTTTCCTGCCAAT